GTGTTGCTATCCATCCATCAACAACTGGCCAGTCACATGGCTTTTTTTACTGTGTACAGTAGGACCCATGAGAAGCTGCTGCAGGGCCACCCTGCTTGGTCAGCTGCCCCCACTAAGCCGCTTGACGCTGCTGTTATTTGACATTTCACTTACTGCCTTGAAAGCATCAAAAGTAATTTAATATTGTTTAGTACCTGCTAACATACTACATAACACTGTATCTATTTATTTTATTGCAAATAATTTTTAAGCTGTGAAAAAAAACCAGAGGTAAACTGAGCTGAACAGTTATTTTTTATTTCAACCATGCAGAGTCTGAAGGTAAGTCTGAAGGTAAAAGAACTGAAAAGAAGGTGTTTTTTATGGGAGGCTGTGCCTGAGGGTAGCTGCACTGCAGATAGGGCACACGGGCAGATCGATACTATCACCACTACAAGGTGGAAATGAAGCCAGGTTCACTGCATTGCATATAGAAAGATACATTTGTACCATCTGATTGGGGAAGAGATGAAGATTTGAGAGATGCCCATTGGTCAAAAGTTCGCACAGGGGCGGGCTGATGGAATGCTGCCCACCCCACAACTGACTGCCTGGAGAATTCTGACGGGAGCAAATCTACTTAGCAGTAGAAAGGCTGACCCAGGGGTTTGGGGCCTTGCATGGAGGCTGTCTGGAGGAATCTGACAAACGTACATTTGGAAAATGGGAGCAGGTGTCTGAGGAGGTATCTTTGCGAATGGCCAGGCAACCTGACGAGGTCCTCAGCCGAGCTCTGAGACCCAGATAAAGAGCTGAGAGAACACAAGGACAGAGTGGAGACAGGACTTTGGAAGAAGCCTGAGAAGCAGCATTCAGGATTTCAAGTAGGAGTCAACCCTGCCAGAAGGCTGCCCGTCAAGTTCTAATTGCCAGGCTTGCGAGTTAACCGGAGTAGAGCCTGGCCGGGAATTGGATTGCTTCTGCCCCCTTACTGCTACTAGGAGTAACTATCTAAGAAACCCTGGGTAAAACTAATAACTCCCTCAAAAATAGCAAGCTTTCTTGTTTTCTTTAACTAAAATACTATATATGTGTGTTTGCTTTTTCTGACATCTCCATCTGTTTTGTCTCATGCCAAATGAGACAAAATACTTTAAGGGAAAAGCATATGTTAAGTAAAAGGGGTGTAGTTTAATGGTGCCAGCAAAAGAGAAGGGAGCAATTGCTGAGTCTCTTTTTCTCTGCATGCCTGGGATGCAATCCTGCACACTAAACATACATTTGGAAAATGGGAGCAGGTGCAAAGAACACAGCACTAAGGCAGAGATTCACACTGTTTGAAAAAGATCAGTTCTTCACACAGTGTGCAACAAACAAGCCCACCTACAACTCAGTATACAAAGGGATGGGTGAATATGAGTTAGTCTCCAGTTGAAACACAGTTAAAAGTTCTGCTTGCAGTGTGGCATCAACAAACAGTCACTTCTGGACTGAAGACTTACCTAAATCATAACAACTAATGCATTGTACGAAGGAAAACCCTGAAAGGATGTGTGAAGTATCACAGATTTCCTGCACTGGCACAAGGGGAACCCAAAGTTTCCAAATATCCTTTATTTTAAGAGACAAGACATATTTCAGAACTACAGCTCTAGTTGTAAAAAATCTCATCTCCACAGACTTGCCTCATTTTAGGCCAAAAGTACACAGTGTTCTCTATTTTTCTGGCAATTCTACAGAGTTTGTGGCATGTCTGGCTTTTAGTTGAGTCTTAAATTCCTGTAGATGGAATGAATGACAGAGCCTTTTAGGTAGTGGCCTAAAAACTGTGCATCTCACTTCCACTTGCATCTTTCACCTTCTACCATTTGGGAAGTCATTCAGGAAAATCTTGAAGACATTGTGTTGTAAGCCGCCCCGAGGCTTCGGTGAATGGGGCGGCATAAAAATGTTTTAATAAATAAATAAAAAATAAAATTCGTCTTTCAATGCTGCCTTTAATCTGAGAATGTTGCTAAAAGCAGCTTTTTAATGTAGCCTATTCTAATTTTACCATTTTTATCTTTGTTTCCTGTCTTTTCTTTTGATTAGCCCTAAAAAGCATATAAAACAAATAAGTGTATAAAGATAAAGCACATTGACACATGTGACCATAGACAAACACAAGTACTCAAATACATTCACAGGCAAAATATGGCTCCAACCCGAACCGCCACCCCCATCCCCTGCCTCAAACAAAGCAGCCTACAAAGAGCCATAGCAGGGCGAGCAGAATTGCTCACTGTTCTCACCTTAGCAGTGCCCAGGTGTTTGCTAAGGGAGACATGAGCTCCCTCTAGTGCCTCCCATTCACGGGCTCAGCAAAGCACAGCCTTTGAATTTAAATGAGACTTCTAGTTTGCTGCTTGTTCATCATCATTCTGCTGATTTTTTACCATGATAAACGTTGAGATAATGGAATGGAATTTACTATGCACATCCTGGACAATTTTACATTTGGAGTAGTTCAGGTACTCTACATTGTCAACATCTGTTTTCAAAAGGAAATAAAAAAATGTATTGTGATATCTGCATTGAATATCAAGATGTTAGAATGAAGGATTGGGTGCACATTCAGGACACTGTTCTAAATTTCAAGTCCGGACCCTGACTTAATACCTGAACCCACTATCATGGGGCCCAGCAAAGAGGAAAGACATTTCAGTGCCTTGAAATGGGGAAATTGGAAAGAGATTTGCTAAGTACATTGATGACAATTCTTCGAACACTGGAAGTTCAAACTCATGTTTTGTCCTGCAACAGTCTTCAGAAACATGAAAGATAACAAAATAGATGTGTGCTATTTGAAGCAAGGCCTCACAAACTCTGTGCTGTACTAGCATAACAACAGAGGCCATGGGGTCTCTTTAGCCTGAGTTCAAAAATCGTGCATAGTTTTGAAAGTGACAAAAAGACTATGCCTTTACATCTTCCGCCAGATTCCTGCTCTGGTTCCTTCACCTATTATCCTGCTGTGCTTGTTACAGTAAGTAAAACTCCAGTTTTAGCCCATTTTCCCAAATGGGGTTAATATCTACCAACATTTCAAAACAAAACTGCTCATACACTTGCAATGAATCAAGACAGATGAATGCAGATGAACTCTGAACCCAAAATAAACAGAGAGAAATGTGTCCAGGGACTTCAAGCTTTTAAGGCTCTGCCCACAACAATGCACAAAATCTATCAACATGGTTCAGAGTCCTGAATATTCCGGCAGCAAGCTATTTCTGAGCTAGGCTCACTGGCTTAGAACTTTCTGAACTTTTAAGAACTTGCATTCCTTGGGGTTATGCTCTCAAACAAAAGTGAACCTTTTGTTCCATGGAATCCAAATTAAGACTGTGTGGTCACTTGAGAGCAGAAGAGGAAATGCAAGAAATCCAAGCATGAAATGAGTCTTGGTCAGACTCTGAATGAGAAACAGGATACATGTCAAAAAATTAGTATGGTTTTTAAAGCTAGAGCACATGGTTGTAATCAGTTTACTATGCATATGCTGCTTAGACTATTCAATGTTATGTATATAGGTGGCACCACATAAAATTAATTATCATTTAAGCAAATGCACAGAATAAACATATATATGCAAATACTTTTCTTAGCAAGTGACACAGAATCATGACTTTTAATTCCAAGTACATATAACTGTAATTATAATGGTGAATGTTTTTAATACAATCCAAGTACATTGCTATTTGGGTTTTACTCAGGGATAGAGTGGGGGAGGGGTAATCGATATATGTAGAGAGAGAGCTCCTAAATGTGAGCATCGTCCTCAGACGGAGTGCTGTTCTCCCTTCACTCTCTGCCTGGCCTTTGAGGTGGGCCAAGCTCAGACTGCTTCACTCCATGCCTAGTCCGCTCCTCCATTCCTCCCATCAATGTTCAACCCCACTTTACCTAATGTGAATCAAGGAACTGGTTGTCCGACTCCATTATATCATGAGAAATGATTCAGAGATTCACACATGTCTGTGCTTCTACCTTCTACACATAACACCCTCTGTTTTCTGAGATGTTAAGATACCTCAAAGTGAGAATACCAAGGCAACCATCTATTATATCTGCCATTTCCAGATCATGGGGGTATTGACCTCCTCTAAGCCACACAGGATTAATTGCCATGTTTTTACTTTCTTATTAAGTAAACAAAGTCAAAATAGTAACATCTGCACCCATGAAGATACTGAACTCCTCCTCTCAACTTCAAACTTGCGCAGCAGCCTATCACTCCCCTTCAACTATCAAAGCCCCTTCAGAACTCCATGGATCAAACCCTGCCAGGAATAAAGCTCAAGCACCATGTTTCCATCAGTGGCACAGCTAAACCCAGCCATAAACACTATAGCAAGTTTAATAAACAGTTCTCCATTTTGCCACTGAAGCTGCTATAAGAAATGGCCCATGCTATGCCTTTGCAAAACCGAGGATATTATTCATTACATTAATCAATGTGCTCTTTATAAGGATTCCTGTGAAAAATATTTGCCTGAATTTAGGCTCAAGAAGGATTTTATTATGCCTAGTGAATTTCTATGTTTCCTATTGTTCTGCAATGAAAATGTTGTTACCTTGCATGTTTTCTTATTTGTGTGGACAGCCAGGAAACTGAAAATTAAATTTGTTTCCCAACTCTGAATGTCCTTTTCGTTTTATAGTTAAAAAAATAAAATTGTTACTTATTTTTACTTATCTCTTTCCTGGAAAGTTGGTGGTGGAGTTTTGCATGGCGTATGAGAAAGCAGAGGCGACAAAAGGGGAAATAACCTGGAAAGGGGGGATAACCTGACCAAGCTTAATTGCTAAATAGTGAATTATGGGCCAAGCAAGCTGTGCTCAGGGTACCTCCCCATTTCTCATTTTGTTTGGCATTAATATTACTTATTATGCTACCACTGAACTACCACCTTATGTTTTCAGAGAAGACAGAACAAGTATACATTTGGAAATAGCAGTACTGGTAGTAACATTACATTTACCATTGGTGTAGGTGTTCACGTAGTATCTTCGCCCCTGGGGGGACATATAGCTCTGCCAGCCAGGTGGTAGGTGGCCATTTTGAGAATCTTCTCCCACTTGCGGAATGGCCTTCCTAGGTTTCTGCTGACAGAATGACAGAATAATCCTGTTAAACTGGTTTCCCAATATTGTTAAAAAAGCACAACCAAAACAAGTATAATATGAAATTCAGAGGTGTCCTTTACAGTTCCAAGGAACCCCACCAGAGAAGGAGACACTGCTAGGAACCCAAATGCCCCAGTCGTCTTACCATCTGCAGCCTGGGAAATGCATTCCAACATTCACCAGTAAAGTGCAGACATTCCCTTAAGGGCAGGGAAGATGGTGGAATGTTGCAGAGCCTGTCTTGCGAGCTTGGCAGTCCAACATACGTGATAATAGGACTTTTGGGAAAGAAAAGCATTCTCTCTCCAAACACTCTCTCTCTCAAAACAGTTTCTGTATGCCTGCCAGTTTCACGCGCTACCAGCATATTTAATACCTATCATAAATGACAGTAAGATCAGGCACAATAAAAATAAATAATAGTCATGGGGAAAAACCATCTATGGGGAATGGAAAAAAGTTTATACAACTGAACTATGCTATCCTGAGATCCAAAAGGGCTTAGCTACTAGCAGTAAAATATGTATTTCCCTGATGGTAGTTACCCATATAAGGCACCAACATTGTTTTGTTTTGTTTTCTACTGAAGACATTATTATTTAAACAAGCTGTCCCTTACAGGCAGCTGCTGTTTTATTAGCATAAAAGCATGTTCACTACTCAGAAGTTTTAATAGCTATAGAGTGGTATATACATCCTGTAAAAAAGAAAAAAAGAAAAACAACAAATAAGTATTACCATACAGCTGCCTGTAGGGTAGGAAAGGTGAACCCCACCATACCTGATGTTTTGGCCCCTGGAAAGGGGGGTTTCCAAAGTTTGTTACAGTGGGTTTTCCTAATGCAACCCAGTATTTCTTCAAGACTCCTTAAACAAAACATGGATACCTAGCAGCATTCATCCCAGGAGCAAAAGAAAAGGAGGAGGAAAAGAAACACAAGCGACAAAGCTTTGGAATCCTCGGTCAAAAACTTTGAGAAGCATATCCAACTCTGGCTCTAGAACCCAAGAAAACCTTATCAGATGTGGCCAACGGGCAATTTTGCTGTGAACACTGAAGGGGAAGTGAAGGCAGACTTGGGAAGAAAGGTGATGATGCAGCAAGAAGCAAAGACAGCTGCGGCAGAGGTTAAAAGGCCACGGATGGAAGGCACATTTAAGCACAAGCACCACAGCCTGAGGGACAACAACGGAGCACAACACCGGTGACTTTCCTGGCAAAATGGCAAAAGGACTGCAGTTAGAAGAGCCAATTAGTGTGAGGCAGGGCATGTATGTACCCTCTGTGAGGCCTACAGCGCCTATTCTGTCCCTACACATTTGTTGTTTTCCCCTGACCACGTGGGGCAGGGTGCCACGAGAACCAAGCCCAGCCACAGGCATTCCCATCGGGTCACCTTCACTTTAGGAGGAATCGAGCCGCTGAGGCAACTCAGTCAGACTTCCAGCTCACTGTCCTATAGCTTCCTCGTGCAACCCCACTGGCCAGAAACAGCGAGCTGCAAAGGAGACAGAGGGCTGGGCAGTGCTCCAAGCTGATGACAAGCAGCTGTGCATGAATAGCTTTTGGCCATGTACACACAGCTGGGAATCTTAGAGCGAGCTCTTCTCTGGCCAGTCGGGGTGACGTACACTGTAGTATAGCCTCGCTCCAAAAATATGCCGCAGGGAAGGAAAGCTGAACAAAGCAGTGGGTCCACGGTGGTGTAGCAAAGATGTAACACTAAAGCCCTGAAGTCTCATTACCATAGTAGCATAATAGCATTACTCATTACAAAAGTATGCACCACGTACAACCAAGTGCTATTGCTGCACAGAATGCGGCTCTTGAATTGCCAAGTGTTCAGGGCTCCACACCTGAGTTAGGCATTCTAGCAGGTCACTGCAACCAAAACTAAATCCCACTGTTTGGGTCACTTGCAGAAAGTCCGCCCTCTGATGATAAACCTGAGCTTTGAGCTTCCCTCAGGCAGCACCTACTATGAGGGTCTTTGCATTACCAGCATTTCAGTTCCTCTGCCACCACTGGAATTTGCTAATACCGGAGGCTCTTTCTTTTCACTTCCTACATAGGCAAGCTGGCAGAAGCTGCAAGGCAGAAATATTCTGAGGCTGGTCACTCTTCAAGAATTAGCTTCATTTAACAGCTTCAGAACTCTTTCCACTGACAAGCAGGGTGAGGAAGAGATAAGAAGCACTAGCTTCAAGAAATACCACCATCCTACAACAATGGACTTAAGTCACTGCTCGTCAAGCAATCCTGAGTTCCACCCTTTCCAATTGCACTGGAACGTCAAAAGATGCCTTAAAGTGAGTCAGAACATGGTAAGCACAATCTCTGCTTGGCAGAGCCTCTCCTAAGTCATACTGAATGCAATAGAAATAGGACCATTTCATCTACTGAAGTCTCCACTAACTTTCCCAAAGCCACTTTGGGATCTCTTGTTGATGAGAAATGTGAGAACCGAAAGCAGACAGGTTTTTCTGCACGCTTCAAATATGTTTCCATATTTGCATTTCTGTAGTGCAGCTATAACATTAATTTACTTTACTCTTTTCAGAGGGATTTGGAGGCTTTCTATTTTTATATGACTAGCTTCCCCAGGTCGCCCAAGTAAGGGTTGATTCACATATGCATGTCCAACTGAATGCAGGTTTATCACAAACCAATCACACAAATCACCTCTTATCTTACGAGTTCAGGTATCAGAGAATGGTTACTCAGGAAAAGGAATGGTTCAGACAACCATCAAGGAAAAGAAGCTACAGCACCTTCTTTTCCTGCCCCATGTGCCAGTTGCATGCAACACAATTTGTCCAATTATTCTCTGAGTCCAGTGAGGTTTGTTGAATTTCTATATGGCCCATAAGCCCAGAACACGTACAAGTTCGCATGTGGTATGGCTTCCAAACTGACCCAGAACCCTACTATGAGTCATGGATTCAGAGATAGTTTCAAAGCCACCTCCACCAGTAGATGCCTCACCAGGTTCAGACAACACAGCAACCTGCATGCCATGAAAAGAGTTAGGCAAATGGAGTGGTGCGTGACCAGCCTGCAAGGCACAGGGAAAGAAGCCAATGTGCCTTCTTTTCCCCTGTGATTGTACAAACCTGGCCAATGTGTACAAATCAGAGTAAAATCATCATGATGGTTTGTGAACATTCCGATGCTTTGCTGCCAAGAGACATTACATGAAAACCAAAGAAGTGTGAAAGGCAGGGTTTTCATCACCAGCATTTCTGCAGGCAATTTATGCAATGAAAAACCTTGTAGCAACTTGATGCAGGACTACTTACATGGAAATACTTTTCAGCATCCCGTTCACTCAGTCAGCTGCTCCTCAGCAGGTAAACTACATTCTTTTATAAGCTAGACTTAAGCCTGGCATTCAGAGAAGGTCACTCCAATATTCTATCAGCTGCACTGACATATGTATGGATTTGCTTCTGAGTCCCACAGAAAGTGCTGGTTTTGGCCTTTCACGTCCCAAATGATTTGGGTCCACCTTCCTTGATGGACAGCTTGCATCCATTCAAGCACATCTGGACCTTAAGATCAGCTGTGGAGGTCCTGCTTACAGATCCGCCGGCATGTACAGTCATGCTGGAAGTAACACAAGGCAGGGCTTTCTCGGTGGCAGCTCCCCATTTCTAGCTTCCCTCCTTAAGAGAGGTATGCTGGCCCCACTCTTCGTTTTCTTTCAGACTAAAACCATTTCAGTCTACCTTCGGTTTGGAGTTGGCTTAATTTTGTTCCTGTTTCATTTCTGAGTATATTTTGACTAATTCTGGTATTATGATGTATTTTCAAGCTGCTTTTTAGCTTTCCATTTGTATGGATAATTTTAAATTGTTTATGGGTTACTAACTGGATGGTGTCATTATTTGTACCTTTTTTAATTGTGAGTCATTTTGAAATATTTTTTGTTCCAAAAAGAGCCATAAACATGTCTCTGATACATACAGAAATAAACAGCATGCACGAGCAAATACCCCTACAGTGCAGTTCTATACAGGAAGGTGTTGGCTGCTGGGGGAGACTTGAGACTTCACAGCTTGATGAGAACTGGAGGTTAAACAGCTTGCAGTGGCTGATGAGGAAAATATTGTTTAATTACGTGTTTGGGGATCTGGGAGCAACTAGGAGACCAGGACAATGTCCTCTACAACCAATCCACAGAGATGGGAGGAGTCGGATAAGCAGGGTTCCCACAAGCATTGTCTATCAGTTACCCAACAAAGGAACCCACAGTGCGGTATGTGGGCAGGAAGGATCACTAGCCTGCATTGTGAGCCCCGTTCCCTTGTCACCTGGAGCCTACTGCAACAAGGTCACCATCCCGCGGTCGAGGATCCAGCACTGCACAGGCTGAGCACAGACAGCTGCAGAGCAAGATGTGGAAGTAAAATTAATGTTCACCCCACGCTGCAAAAGCCACTCCACAGACTAGTTACAGCACCAAAAAATAAGCACACATCTATATATTGAGTAACAGCAATTTTGCACCCTGTGCAAGTATCCATCTGTGTACATCTGTCCATGCAAAAAGTGAACAATATAGTTTTCTGCAGAAATACTTCCGCACATTCCCTCCCTCCCTCCCTTCCTCTCTCTCCCTCTGTGCACATATGCTACTTTTTACAAGACCACCATGTGGGGGCTGCTGTTGAGTGCCAAATATTGAAACTATATACATCAACCAGTTTGGATGCAATAATTGGCATTTCAGAGATTGTTACAGAAGTTGTGTACAATTTATAAACAGACGTATGGAAGGATTCTGCGCAAGGAGGACTGCCATCCAAGACTACACTGCTGGAACGGGGATTATGTGTTACAGAAAATACTGACAAAGAAGCAGCCTGCATCTCCTCCTCTTCCTCCTCCTCTCACCTGCCAGTCCCATGCAACAAAATCAATCACCTCTTTGGCATAAGGGAAACAAAAACCCTGATTGTGGTGACATCATCATCCTCTTTTTTGGCCACCTATCGCAAGGGAGACAGGAGGATATAACACGGCTTTGCTGTATTGTTAGGTGTTTCCCCTAAAGAATCACACATATAAGTTGTACTCTTAAGTGAAAAACAAGACGTCTGTGGGATCAAGTACACTGGGGAATTGCTCTAACCCAGAAGGTCCATTTTCCAGTCTCTCAGGTGGGTGCTGGCTGTGGTAACTGTAGAAAGGGCATGCGACATATACTCAGGCTTGTATAAACATCTAAATGTCTTTAAAGCATCCTGAGCTGAGTCCTGACTCTGAAAATGGGTTTCAGACCCAAGCTCTTAGAACAACCTTCCCCAAGCTCTTGCCCTCCGCGTGTTTAGGCTTGCTAATCTTAGTGTTCCTGACCATTGTTCCTGCTGGCTGGGTCAGATGGGAGGGTGAAGTCCAAAACATCTGGAGGGAACTAGGTTGGGGAAGAAGATCTGTTTACCAGGTCATGTTCTTTCTGAATATATGTAGAATTTGGATCAATCTAAATGTTGTCACTAACATAGTCATCTCTCTTAAGGACAACACTGTTTTTGCTTGAAGTTTACTTGGAAGAGATCCTTTCAGTTTCAGACAAAAACTAGAAATGTAACATTCTACAGGGATTTGTGAAGAGTGAATATAAATTTGTTGTGGAATTTTCACATGCAGCTGTTCAAACAACTGAGTTCTTGGAAATGTTCTGATGATCCAGTCTCCAGCACAGATCTCACAGCTTCACTGATATACTGCCATGAACAGCCTTCCTTGTTTACCTCTGTAGCTCATAACTTATTGTGGAAGCTCGTTCTATTATATGACCGATCCTACCCCTTTTATTCAAAGCTTCAACGGAGAACTGTTTTTTCCTCAGAATGTGAGAGCCAGTTTGGTGCTGCTGAAGCCATGCTTTCTCCTTCCCGGTGCCCAGTGTTTCTGCGCACTGGACTGATCTCATGGATAATATGGAAGAAAGGAGCAAATTTTCGGGGTTTTAGATAAAAACAGAGGCAAATACTCTTTCAGCCCGACTGCCAAAATCAGAAGAATTGAAGATCTTAGGAGCTGCATTCCAGTGAATTCCAGTGAGAGCCAATGCAGTGTGGTGGTGAGTGCAAGAGTGCCATACTGGGACGCAGGAGATCCCAGTTCTAGTCCCCACTCGGCCATGAAACTCACTGGGTGACTTTGGGCCAGTCACTCACTCTCGCCCCAACCGACTTCACAGGGCTGTTGTTATGAGGATAAAATGGAGCTATGTGAGCTCTCTCATGTTACTTACAAAAGGAAGAAAGGTGGTATAAATGCACTGTAAGTAATTGTCACTACCACCTGTGGTGCCCATGGTAATTCAGATGCGCACAGCCATGCTCGGAGGATGAAGTGCACGGCTCTGGCGGCCAATTTCCCATGCACAGCATCTTGCCCCGAAGAAATGCATTGCAGGGCTGCTGTACAGAAAGATCCCCATGAGGCCCCTTGGTTGCTTGCATGCAGTGGGATCTCGTGCAGGTTTCTACATGCAGACCTCCAGCACTGTATCCTGTTTCCCACTCACAGTGAGATACCCGAGAGGTTCGTCTATCTGGAGAGGGTCTGCTGCATGTCAAATGTCGCTATCACACATGAAAGAGATCAGTGGAATTGCAGCAGTTAGCTCTATCCTGACAGCAATACTCTGTGAAAAAGATATATCAACCTAACTTCCCACATTGATTCCAACAGTTATAATTGCATACTAGGAATCCAAGAACAGATTTTGTCTCGATCATATTTGTCAGCTTCCTGTTAACACACATTTTTGCCCTACCACTTGTTGTGTATTTTTTTCAAAATTCCCAAGAATTCACTCTCCCACACAGTCTCAACATTTTTCCCATCTTTTATTTACCAAGATTCGGTGTGCTCTTCAGATGCCAGGGCTTGGCCTCCCTGCAGTGTGTGGCCAGCTGCATTGTAACAATTTAATGGATGCAGTACTAGGCACTCATTAAAGATGTTTGAAACACACCTTCTTTTTCCAAGTGTGCTTTTTTTAATGATTAACAAAATTAGCTACATCCTCCCCCTTCAGACATTCCGGTTTGTTTCGGCCAAACCACTAAGAGTTTTGCAGTGCTGAGCCTCAGAACTTGATCAAGTTCTTCTGCCTTTCCCAGATTCACAAAGCATCAAAGAATGTTCAGAGAGTTGCGGTAACCAAAGATATAATTATGAGTAAGCTTTAAGATGAAGGGTGTAAACCAAGGGTGGGCAAACATCAGGCTTGCAAAATCTACTATTTTATTTTATTTTTTGCTAGAATTCTGAAATCTACCAAAATATGTATTTAGAATTCAAGAATTCTGAGTCCAAGAATTCTGAGTACTAGAACAGAATGAGTTCACAGTTCTTCCACACAAAAACCTGTCACTCAAGTCTTTCTTCGTTTAACTGGGCTGGGTTCATTTTGTTGCTGCTATCATTAAAATTTGGGTTAGAAAACCTAGCACCTCTTAGAAACCGCACAGGGCTCTTATCAATATACCCAGATCTACAGTCTTTCCTTACCTTCTAGAGAAATAACATTCAAGGATTCCTTAATATATTTTACTTTAAATAATGCCATCTTACCATGGGTGCTTTTGCCAAGTCCTTTGTAGACATTAAGTGCAAACCAGAGCTGCTCAAAGACTTGTTCCCTCTTTGTGAGATGAGCTGGGAAACTACCCAGTGTCTGTTCTGATCTTTGTGTGCAAGTAAAGAGCCAGTGCTCAATGTTAAAACTCAGAGGAAGAACAACCACTGCAAGGGTTGTTCTTTGTGTGTCAACACACTTCAGCACTTCCCTTCACTTGATTTTGTTCTTGGGAAATCAAAGGGGTCCATTCTAGAGGCTTTCCAGATGTGAAGTTTCTGGAAAGCTTTTTCCCTTGCCAGCTTTCAAATGTCTGCGTAGGTGATGGAGAGCACAAAGCGAGGGTCTGTGCCATTGACCAAGTGCTCTCCATACACAGGCAGGACAAACAAGGACTGCTTTGACAAGCTTCTCTTGGTTCAATCCCAAACTGTTTGACCTTCTGTGTCCCTTTTCTGTCTCTCTGAGGAACTCTTTTCCCTGAACCTCTATCAAGTCAACCCTTTGTACGCAGATTGACCTAACTTGCATTCAGCACCGAAAATAAAGCCATTTCAGAAAACACATAGGCACTGCGAGAATGTCAGATCTGGCACATATAGGATGAGCTGTACTTCTTGATGCTGACTTGAAGGGAGGGGGAGGAGCCCTGAGTAATTTTTGCCCCAACAAAGCATGTGCCTCCTCTTTCTGCAGTTTTTCGGGGGTTGTGAACAAGAGCAGAATCTAGACCAGGAACACTGCTTTCTGCCCCCTGTGTGAACTGACTTCATAATTTCATCACATAGCCAGGCTGGTATTATGCTGCTGTGATCCCCAGTTGGTTGGAATCACAATCCTAGAAACACAAAAAGGAGGGTAACAGGAAAGGATGAAAAAAAGCAGTCACAAAAGTAGCAGCTGCACAAAGGGGAATGGAAAGGAGTATTTCAGCCCTGGCAGAATACCCGATTTCATGTGAAAAAGGTTTGGAAGCTAATCGGCTGAGCAACACTTTGGGGAAAGACTGTCAGTTGCTTCACAACTGATTTTATATTTAGCATGCCATCCATTTCATGCAGCTAGGTGCAATAAATAAAATATGTGCATTTGCTCAAGAAAACCATCTTTTTATCATAACCACTCTTTTGTTACAATTCCAACCACATCAGAAGTATATTGCATTACACTGACTGTCCAAACCTTGAACTCGTCATCATCAACAACACCAGGAGGCTGACAATTCCTCACACGTCCAGAGAATGCTAACGATACTATATCGGTAGACCGGTGAAGGAAAACAATAACCTATGGGTAGTTGCAAAGATAATAGCTAGAATATCATAATTTCAGACATTCACAAAATACACACAGTTGTACAACAGTACCTTGTGATTAGTGACAGTCTCCACATTTTAGAAATCTATTGTGAAAGCTATGCTTTTCCAGGCTTTAAACAAGTGACAATCATTCTCTTTCTTCTGGTGTTTTAATGCTTTTAATGTTTTTGTTTTAGATTGCAGTGTAGTGCAAGACACCATTTCTGGTGTTCAACAAGGTATTCTACCTCTTCAATCTTTTTAAGAAAAAAAGTCCATGCCTTTATTGCCAGCTGGGATTGCTGTAAAATTGCTTTCCGATGGTGCTGAAAACTGGCCCCCAGTGAGTTGCTGAATGTGTTGGGGGCCCAGAGCCCACCCTCTTCCTTGTGTTCAGTCCTTAAGCCAGCTACTTGTCCTTTGCAACACTTCCCATGAGAACTATTTTGTGAGGGACAATTTCTCAAATTGCCAAATGTCCTCATGGGTCTGAGAGGTTGCCTGCTCCTGCTTCGAATGGTCTGACATTTGGGCAGAAGAAACAACACAGGCATTTTCTGGATCAAATCAATACACAATCACTTTGTCACCATGCCAATTTTGCCATGTGAAGATACCCAAAACATGATTAAGACTTAATATAAAATAGCCGGTGTTAGTAAGAGCCAGCTTATTTGTTATGGTCGCCATGGGGAACACACTTTAACATCTACTTGGCTGTCACCATACAATGAGTGGTCCGTGTGTACTAGCTAAAAACAAGAGGAATGTGTGTTTATACCATAAAAAAGTCCCAAAGTCCCAAATGAAGTAGTCCCAAATGGCGTACTGTAAAATATTCCGAACATCTAGTGCCTTTCCACTGGAAACTTTAGAACAACTACAAGACAGAGCAGCCCATTTTCTCCCTCCCTACTTAAAAACAGCCGTCCAACATGAAGCAGCTACTTACCAGCAAAAGTGGGTCCTCAACAAAGATAACCAAGAATTGACTCCCTGAACAAATTCTGGTGCTGATTCTATCCCATAACTACTCAAGCAACAGTATCAAGGAAATAAACTGCCATCATATCATCAAGGACACATTTCATTACACATCTTTTAGCCATACAACAAGCAAAAGCAAATATCCCAAATCTACTTTCTTGTAATACAGCAGTGGACATTTTGGGACTTTTCATATGCTTTTGCCCACAATTTCCGTTACCGTAGCCAGCATAGCCAATAGTGAGTGACAACAGTGCTTGCAGGTCGAAACATCTGGAGGGTCACACATTGCCCAACTCTAGTATACTATTTCAGGTGGGAAACTCAAAGGCCAAATCACCAAAAATGTGAGAGCTTTTGAGATCTGCCGAGATTGCCCATCTGCCATTTACAGAAACCAAACAGGTCAGCTTCTGCATATACCTACTCAAACTTGAAGAACCTCTTCAGATATCCTGCTCCAGATGACCCTGCCAAGTGAGGTGAGGCAGAGGCAAGTAAGGAGAAGTAGCATTCAGCTGTGGAATAGCCTCCTGACTGCAGCTGTCAATGCTGGGGTATACATTTGCAAATCTGACACTGTTGGGAGTGGATAAGGAGGGAAAGAAACTGCCCTCTCATTAGGTGTTAACTACACTTAAGAACCCCAGGGTAAGGCCTGCAGGTACTATTGCACCCCTCCCACAAAAGATCCCCACGATGCCACCATGCTATCTGTTCTCCTCACCAGCCAGCTTGATTTTGAGCCAGAATGGTCTCCTTGGCTTGTGCGGCTCCATCCCTCACTGTGCCTTTGTCCACACCCATCATGACTGGGTGGCAACAGGCCTCTGAGTTGGTGGAAGTGGAGAGAGAAAGACCCCTGGCAACTGAGCTCTGCCCACATGAAGGGAGAAAAGTGGAGGAGGCTGAACATGGCAAACCAAAGGGGAGCAAACCAAAGCAAAAGAGGGCAAAAGAAGCGTGTGCCTGTGGCAGGAAGTGGAAAGTCAAGACCAGGAGGGCGGTCTGGAGATTGCTGGCACTCACGAAATAAGAGACAGGTTAGGGGAATTAATTTCTTGACACTCAGAGAGAATTTTGTTCTTTCTGTAGCAAACCAAGCACTGGCTGTTAGCTTGTTTAAGGAAGCTTGGAAGCCTGTAGGGCTATAGGTTGCACTAAGCACCATGTGTGATGCTTTGGATATGGTTTCTGATTTTGACAAGGCAGGCCCAGTTTCAACTCCCTGATCAGTTGTTGAGGCTGATGGGGTCACTAGATTTTAACCTATTCTACCAGGCAAGGCTGTTAAGATTACCTGCCCAGCTCCTTGGAGGATACAAATGCAAGGAGGCAAGTAAAATAAAAAGGGGTTATCAATTTGAGTTAACCTATGCCGTTGTTATTTTGTTCTAGCAAAACTTGAAAATATGAAGACAGTTTCTCAGGCCAGAGGGGACTCAACTGGACTTGCAGAGGTAAAAAGCATGCCCTTGCTCTGATCTCTCAAAGCCTGCCCACCTTCTTTGATGCACCTTCTGTCCCCAGGGTGCCAATCATCCACTTGCTTTCCTCTATCCTAGTCTTTACCAAAATAAAAAAGAAAATCCCATACCTTGCAAAAAGTAAGTTTGAATTGTCATAGTTATGAAAAGTGAGTGAACCATAAAGATGGTTGCCTAAATTTTCTCTGGCCCGGAGTTTTTGACATGGGATTCTAGTTCTTCCTAGGAAGGACAACATTTTTAGCTTAGCTCTTCATAAGAAAGTCAACACAAACAACAACAAAAATCTCCCTTTGTAAAGGTAAAATACATCTTTCTACACAACCATTGCTTTACTGGGTTTGACCGGCGAACCCATGGTGATGACTGGCACGGCATATGCTGAATCCTCAAATTAATGTTGCCCACGGAAACAGCTTCACATGACTTCCTGATCCATCCGGAGAAGGATGCCCCTCCATGATGAAAGTTCAAGCCTTGCTCAACAGAGAAAAAACCACTTCTCATTTAGACTCAGCAGGAAGCTCCCATTAGAAAAGAGGGGACCTAGAAAGGAAACATCTGTGCATTCAGGACCGTAATTCCTGCAAAGGGAGCATATTTTCTGGAACGTCCAGATTGAAAAAGTTTCATAGAGTCTGAATCAAAGGCTACAAGCAAACCTATAAGGTCAAAATTCTATAGGCCTCCTATGGCAGTATCTCCCCTCAAGAAGCACTCTCTTGCGAATAGCCAGAACAGCTAGTCTGATGGCCTTTTCACATGTTATGTGCTGTATAAGTTATGGTGTTTTTAAAAATGCAACACCTACAATTGTAAGCATGAGTGGAACAGGTGTTTGGAACACATACATCATTCTGATACATTTATCAGAGAGCTGGGATTGCTTGTAGCTCCCTGTTGAGTGCCTGCCCTATAGCAGATTCAGCGTAGGTTCCATATAAACCGTAAAACAGCCTGCACAGACCAACCGAGTATGCACGGGACCATGGGAAAAGGAACACTTGCCACGTGTGCAGGTTTTTCGTAGCGGGCTCTATCACATCTCCGATTTGAAAGAACTATTTTCACTTATGCTCATTAGCGAGTGAGAATGGGGCAAGGGATACATGTCACGATGTGCTGGTAAACACTGTGCTTATAAACATCGTCCGGTCACTACTGCCACAGCAGAAGACACTGGACCAGCTGTTCAAAACCTCAGACCTAGGGTTCAAATAGCTCTAGGCAGTCAAGCCCCTTTCCCTGGCCCCCTCCCCTTTCCCTTGACCACCAATCATTTGATTGGTTTGGGTCAATGCCTCTGTTAAGGCTTAACTGCTTTAAAGTTAATATATATTGAATGTGGGGTATTTTGTGCCCTGAAATTTTGCCTTTGGCCCCATTAACTACTGAAATGCAGCTTTCCTGCAATGGAAGTTGACCCTCAGGCTGAAAGAAGATCAAGATTCCTGGCCTAAACAAATTACAGACCTTTGTTTTTGTAGTTTAGTATGATGTGCAAAGCCGGACCTTTCCCCTGGACCATACTGCTTCCCTAACAATAATCAAATAACAAACCATGGCTTATTTCTCTGGCTTTGTAGTAGAGGCAAGGCACAGAGTGGCTGGGTGCAGACAATACAACAAGCCATGGTAGTTTTATGCTCCTGTTGGTCTATCATGTTGTCTGAGCCCAGTAGTGGCGTTTCACCATGGTAAAACAATGTTCTTTATAAACAACGATGAGAAACAATGGTTAGTTTTGTGGTTTCCCCTTATCACCATGGCTTGTCATATTGTCTACACTCAGGATCACGGTTTCCATGGTTCTGGTACACAACTACCACGGAAACCCTGGAAAGAGTAGCAACTCCAGCCATCCAGGCTCTATGTGTGGGCCAATGAGGAAAAGATAAACAACATAGGTAGGGAGTGATGCACCTTGGGATCGAATTTCAGGCATAGTGGCTGATGGGATATGTGCCAACATGGGAGGAAAGGAAGGCTAGAAACCACAATAATGCAGAAATCACTTGATTTCCATGCAGAGTTGCTTGCTGCACTGTGTGAAAACAGCCACTGACTTTGCACATTGAAGTAAACAAAGCACAGTCCACAGAAATTATTTTAATATGTAAACCAGGTAAACCTCTTCATCACCTGGTTACTCATTTCTACATAGTTCCATGTATCCATGAAATCTATAAAATGACCCAATGTATAAAATTGTTTCCATCTGCAGTTGCAGAGGAGGGAGAAAAAATTCCAACCACAAACACAAAGGGAGAACAGAGTAAGTAAACTCCTACACTGCATGGCATGCTGCAAGAGGAAGCCAGTTTGCATGACTATACTGAAAAACTGTCAACTTAACTAATTTCCATTTTATTTTTAAAGTAGCAATACCAGAAACGTGGAGGAAGGAGTACTGCAGACTATGAGTGTGCGATCGAATCCGTTGGATTTCATTTGGTGAACAAACAAACAAACAATACTTCTGAATCAAAATGGATGCTGTGATCTATCACTCAAAGCCAAGGCTCCACCTTGCTGGACAAAGCAAAAACTGCAGTTGCCGCTCCTGCACCTCTCAAGCCTCCAACTCCTGGCCAGCATTTATCTCAAGCAGTACGTTTTGCTGGGTGCTGCTGCCTGAAGGCATGGTGAACACCTTCAGCAGCAGTGTCCGTTGTTCTCCATAGCCCGAGCTTCTGCAGAGCAAAAGAGGGGGCCAGTTTGTCCCTGTGTGGTCCCTTGATGTCATACATGCGCTTTCTGGTGAACCTCAGGATTGCATGACCATTTTGGTGGGGCTGACAGCTCAGAATCTGAGGATGCAGGGGAAGCAGCCTCTTCTGGCAGGGCAGGCAGCTCAGACTCTGATGATGAGATGAGTGTTGAAATGGTCCCAATTCAGGTGCAGTCCAAGGCGCTGCATACCATTTGTGCCTGCTATGGGAGAGATTAGTTCAAAAGCAGCCGAAGGGCCCAGTCAACCCACCCATGAGAACAGGGAAGAGCAACGTCTTGAGGGAGGGGGAGTCTATTGGATGGGGAACTCCAGCCTCCTAAGGAGCTGGACCTGATAATCCGCCAACACAGCCGCAGGGTGGTCCGACTGGGGTCTCTGAGGGACAAGCACAGGCAGCCTGTTTCCACAACGCTCCTCCCTGCAGGGTCAGACACAGAAGGATCCATAAGGAAAGCTCTGGGTGAAGCATGTCAGAGAGGGTTCAGCGTCTGTGCATACGTGGAGACTTGTAAGTAAAATAAAGACTTTTGGCAAATAAGTGCTGGTGAGACTATTAGACTGGGAGAAAGAAGCAAGGCTTACACCGCTCAGCTGCACAGCTGCCACACAATCCTCCAGTCTTCCTCCTGAAGCTGAAGCTGGCAAGCCCCTGGATAACTCGCATCCACCTCGGAGCCTTCAAAGTCGGGAGAAGCTTGGCCACTCGCCAGGGGATGGCACCACACTCACTGGGGCACGCAGGTTTGCACGAGCCTGTTCAAAGCTGCTGTGACCTTCCGTCTGAGGAGTGCTGAAGCCATGCCTTCTCCCTCCCGGGGCACAGAACGTTCTGCATTGATATCACACACTTAAGGGACCCCAGAGAGAGAAGACGACAGAGAGCGAAACTAGGATCGCAGCGTGCAAGAAGGGCAACGTACCTGCTTGGGCGGTGCACCTATGCCGTGCTTTGGGCGGCAAAGCAGTGATGGCAGGGAGTGAGCGGAGGAGGTGAGGCCGATGGGATGGGCACGTCTCGGTTCATTCACTGGCAGTGGCGGCAGCAAAGGCAGCCCACCCTCCAACAACATGTGAACTCAGCGCTGCCACGCAGTGAACACTGTGCATGAATATTCATGTCATTTCCTCACCTCAGGAGGTTACAGATGCGAACTGTGCCAGGGAGCTGGGCATTGCCCTGGACTGTCCAGCTCACTCTTGACGCCTGGCCAGCAGGCATGTTAACGGGACCCTGCACAATATCATGGCTGCAGCCAAGAGAGGACAGACAGCGGAGAAAGCATTAATCAGGGATAGGGAGCGGGGCGAATATCAGGGTGAGACAGAACCTCCTCTTTCCCCACCACCCTCAATTTTCATATAGCTGAAATTTTAGTTCTTCCTGCATCTTTTTTAGAACATTTGGTTTCCATGGCATCAGATATACTGTGTGAGATTGGGCTTATATTTAGAAACTGGAACAAGGATCATGTGAGCACCCAAATAGATATGCTCATGTTGTTATAGCAACCAACAACTTCTATCTACGATTACTCAAATCAAGATATATTTTTTCCAGTTTGTAAGAGAATTCACTGTTAAGCAAAGATGCCCCACCAAAGAAATCTCATCATTTCAGGGAGTGGACCAAACCTGGGACTGATATTCCTATTTTTAATATTCAAGACTAGCAACAGAGAGTAAAGCATGGCATTGCTGCAGCCCTTATGACTGGGTGCCGTTCAGCGGTGGTACTGCTGGTGAGAACCCAGGAGAAGTAAACATGACAGGGCAGCTTGGCCCCTGATGACCCTTTCAAGAGTCACTCGACCAAATGAATGGGGACGTGCCAAGCTGGCCTGTGTACGCCACTCTTGCTACTATGGCATTGGCAGGACCCCTCTCTGAAGGGCTTTGTTGCCCTCTGCAGCACTGCAGAATGGGCCTCTTGTGTTCGCAGCAGTCCTTGCACTGTGGGAGTCACAAGGCAGAGACCGGGCCAGCTGCAAAGGGAAAGCAGCCTCTCAGGCTTGCCTCACACTGTCAGGGCGCCCACAGCACAAGCTACAGAGACCACGTCCAAGCTCACTAAACCAGGGGCATTCAACTAGATGTAGGTCTGGAGAACTGTAATGTGTGGTCTTTGGTCCAGTGGCCCTCTTCAACAGCTCAACAGGCACTGAAGTATATGCACGCTGATCACAAGGGCACTTGTTCTCCATCCCAAAGCTTTCAAAGCACCTCCTTCACGCTTGCCAGCCCTTCTGGAATTCCAATCCACGGAGGCGTCTCCCTGCTTCCAGTTCTTGGTATGCATCTGCAGCCCTCTCCTCAGGACTCTTCCAGGTTATCATCACTTCATTTTCATTTCTTACCCACACTGGCTCAAGGCATTTTGTTGGCTGAAGCGTCCCCACTGGAGCAAACTCTTGCAAAGCCCTTCCTGCACCATTCAGCCCTGCAATTCCAGCATTCTACCCCATGGTCATGGTGCCACCTGAAGCAGGTCACGGTACCCTGCTGCATGGAAGGACAGGGCCTGTCCTGGTGGAATCCAGCACAGCAGCAGCCCATGCCATGCAATGTATCGAGAGGATCTGCAGGACCTGCAAGCATGTCCTGTTCTGCAGTTTGTTTGTTTGTTTAATTTCCTAAGGATTGCATACTGCTCTGTATCCCCATAGAGAGATTTGGAGCAGTGGACAATAAAGATAAAACAATGCCCATAAAACCATGACTGGTTAGATCAGGAAGGCTTCCTGGGAAAAGAAAAAGACTCCTGGAGGCACCAAAATCAGTAAGATGCGGGGCAGGGAGTTCTAGGGAAATGGACCCACTGTGCTGAAGGCTCTTCTCTGGATGCCTTCTTATCAGGCCACAGGTCCATGTGGAACCACCAGGAGCAGGCCATCCGATGTCCTCAATGACCAGGCAAGTTGGTAAGAGAGGAGCTCATGGACTCAAGGCGTTTAGGGTTTTATGCACTAGTAGCAAAAACAGCCTGGAGCTAATAGGTGTCCATGCATCCACCTCAGCAAAGAGGAGCCCTGCTGAACAGGAGAAGCTCCTGACAAAAGCCCAGTTTCTGCATTCTGCGCCACCTCCAAGCCTTAAGGGGTAGCCTCACAGACTGCACATTGCAGGAGGGCTCGGTGTCCAATGTGTGTGAGTGGCCAATGTTTGTGGCAGCCTTCCCCCTCAACTTCAGCCACTACATAGCTCTGTAGTGTGCAGGGAGTGCGGAGAACAGAGGTTAAAGGAAGTCAGCCCCTCTGCTACAAGCCCCACTCTTCTGCTATGGAGGATTCCCGGGAATATTCATCTGTAGCCCTTTTTCAAAGAGACTGGGCAGCAAGAGTACGGAATATGGTGTACGTCTCAAGACTTACAAATGCTGTAAGACTAACAGAACAAAAGTTTTGACTGTGCAATGGTCTGTACAATGGTACTCAATAGTAATGTCCATATTAAGGTCCACATTAAGGTACAGTAATCTACTTTATTGGATATCTTGTTACATGGAAAGAGAAAATACAGATTATTATATGATATTGAGATAGATTAGATAGGTTTGGAATATTGAGAATCAAAATACAAAATTAAATATGTATTATTGATATTTTTCATAATTTCCTTATTTGAATCTATCTTTATTTTGAAAAAGAAATTAATAAAAACATATTGAAAAGCAAGGCTTATAGAAGGATAACATATCCCACACATAGACTGGAACTCTAGCACCCTTCTAGCTAGAAAATAAGGACTTAACTCTAACTTTACTGTCAGCAAATTACAACCTGAGAAGGGGTTCTTTGGCAGATAACCCATTGCTTACTTGTCCTTCACATACACAAAACATCCTTCTCCACAACACTCCCTCCTCCTCTTTTATCTTACAGGCAAACTCTTCCCATTTTCTCCCCCTTTTTATTTAATTTGTGCCAAGACTCAACAGGCCTCAATCCGGGAGTCAGTTCTTCAATACCAGGGCTAAGCCCTGAAATGGAGAATTAAAAGTACCCCAGAATATGTGCCACTTGCCTTTCCCTGACCACCAAACAACTGCAGGAGCATGTTACTTCTGAGCGTATTTTCATCCCAGCATATAAGGGCTAAACCCACAGGTCTTTCCTTTCCCTCCCTCCAACTTCCCTGCTCCAGTAGCCCAGCTCCCAAAATTAATATTTCTTCAAAAATAACCAAACCATCATGCACTTAACTACTGCAGTGGACAAAGGCACTTTCATTGTTAAATGTTTGTCTTTGATTATATGTATTTGCTGATAAATCAGGAAAGCTGGCAGAAGCCTAAACAAGCCACTTTCGTCTATGAACTTCTCCTACCATCCATTTTGCCCCATACTCAGTAAGCGTAGAAAAGCCATGAAAAAAGCCAATAGTAAAAGCACTTGATTTGCATTTAGCACTGCGAAGTAAAGAGAAATTCAGAGGCAGAAACCAGCATTTGGATTCAGAAGAAATGATTTGCCTCTCTGTGTTAGTCTCCCTGACTTCCAGTTCTATTATCAACTATTACGTTTTTTTATATCACTACAGTAAATAAAGAATCAAGGAAAGAGAGGTTTATATACAACTTTGCTAAGCAGTGCCTTTGTGATGCCTGTTGAGTTTTAACTGACCAGGCCTGCAACAGAAAACAAGAAGCCTGACGCAGCCTTCTCCAGATGGATTTCCTCCAGAGGTTTTGGAGCACAGCTCACATCAGTCCCAGTCAGCATAATCAATAGCCAGCTGTGATAGGAGCAGGTAGTCAAAAACATCTGGAAGGTATTAGGTTGGGGAACACTGACTTAACACTTGTTAAAATCTGTGTCTCAATATGGCTCTGAAAAGGGGACAGAATCGGGAGAGAAGAAACAAAGATGGCAAGGAAGTATCGCTGTGTGATGTGAGAAGAGAAAATCACAGGGCATCATGGCAGCTGCATTCTCCAAGCTATTTTCAGCTCATGCAGGTGTGATGAAAGTAAGCTGGAGCCTTCCCACCCTTGCCTGACCCCCTGGTTCACCACAAAACTCAGGTTCTGAAGTGAGAATCTGAAAATAATAATTGGGCAATGCTTATCAAGTTAAGCTCTACAACCATCCCAGGCTACATGGAACGGAAGTATCAGGTCACAAACCTATGGCCACATATTAGTGCGCAGGGCCCATTGAATATATTTTCCAAGTAAAAAGGCAGAGGACCAAACTGCCTTGAAATACTGCCTGCCAGACTGTGAAACTGATTTCCACATGGAATTCCAAACCTACCTATGTTTGATAGGGTTAATAATTCTGAATAATTCTTTTTCTGCATTTAATATGAACCTTGACTGCATAAGCAAAAAACATATAAGGAATCTGTCCAGGGATTATTCATGGAAGGCAACTGATCATGAAAACAAGCCAAGTGTGTTATACCAGCTCCGACAGGTGGAGAAGGCAAAGTGGAAGCACTGTCAATTTTCAGTGTTTTTTGGCTTTGGTTCAACTTCCATAAATGCAATGTTGAAGTTTGCAGAAAGCAGCAGTAGAAAATTCACAGAAGTCAGCAAAAGTTCAGAAACAACAAGGGCTATTTTTATATCTCGGTGAGGAAAAGTTTAATGTGATTACCCTTCAGATGCCAAAAATGATTCCTAGGAGATCAACAGATGTGAAGGTTTTGTCAGAAATCCAGAAAATGGGTTGTGAGATGCTCTCTGTCCTTTAGCTCAGTCTTTTCCCGCAGCCCATGTGTCAGACCTTAACTCCCATCAAGCCCAGCCAGTCTGGCCTTGCCATCTGGGGATGCTTACTGTTGCAGGCCAATGCATCCGGAGGGCACCAAGTTGGGGAAAGGTGATTTAGTTCCTTTGAAATAACAAGGGCAGCAGCAACAATAGCAATTAGAAGGAAGTGTCCTCACATTGTGGTTTTAAGTAATTTAACATTGCCTAATGCCACTGAAATCTGAGCAGGGCTCCACTGGTTCTCATATACTGGCATACTTTTCATCTCAACAACGTAATTAGGCATAAATATACAACCCACAATAAAAACATCCTCTGAAAAACAGATCAAGCCCCAGGCTTCTAAGCCCCCTGAATGCCTTTGATGAGGTAATCCAGCAGGGGCTGGGGCCCAGGGACCCCCCACTCTTGCTGAACCCTTTCTCAGACACAGATCAGGCCCTCTTTGTCAGCCTCCCCCCGGTATGTGATTCAGTTTGGTCCAGTGCTGCAAGTTCACTGCACAAGCCACACAAATTACTGCTGCACTTGCATCGGTCCACCACTAGGTAAGGAAAAGGATACCCTTCCAACTCCTTGTTACATCACATCCTTCAAGATGAAGCCATAGCTGCTGACCCATAAGGGAGATCAGCATTTGCTAATGGAAATTTCTCTTCTCTTTTATACTGTACTGAGGGCTGTACCTAAAACGAAAGTCCTAGATAAAACACCCGCTTTCGATGTGTGAAAAATAAGGTTGACAGTGTTTCCTGACCACAGCATGTTCTAAAAATACTCCAACATAAACTCCCCAAAAGGATACAGGGACATCCTGAAAATATTAGTGCCATATTTCAGCATTATCTTTGATGATCTCTCAGTGTGAGTTGATTGAAATCACTAAGGCAAATAGAATTCATTTAAATAACTACTTTAAATCAAGTTACATATTTTGAAACTAATGCATTTCCTGAACAAGTATGCATATTAACTGGATCCTATAGCAAGCAAAGCCACATACGGTAAATGCCGGATGTTTTGAGAGCTGCAAGGGAGCAATCGTGGGCAGTGGCGGCCAGCAGGCACCCACGGGTGGGGCAGCGGGTGATGAGCAGCAAGTGGGTGCACAAGAGCACCCCAGGCGGTGAGTGGTGAGTCGCACAATAAACTCGAAGAGCTGCATGCAGCTCCTGGGCCTCAGTTTAGCCACCCCTGGTCAAAGCTGTGACACCAGAGTAAGATGCACCCACCATCTTTAGGACTCAAGGTTGTATCCACAGAGGAGAAGGATTTCTCTAGTGGTGATGGAGGAAGAGAAACTTTCGAAGAGCAACTACTGGGCAGCAGCAGCAGTAACTGAAGGCGACACTGGTGGACAATGGCAATGATGCCCAAGCTAGCTAACTCTGGCTGGTATTACGCAGGAGTAAACCACTTCTGAATTGTCTTACCTTCAAAACCCTATGATGAAATAATACAAAATTAAACAAGAAATAGTGCTAGAAGATGAGACTCTCGGGTCAAAATGCACCCAACTTGCTACAAGGGAAGAGAGAGGGACAAGTATGGATATTGTCATTAGAGATACACTCAATCAAAGGGAAAGGAAGTTTAGTGGCTGGCATGCACAGAGGCAAAAATAAAGTCCAGAGCCGCACAATGCATATGGTTGGAATGCGGCAAGTATGAGTCAAGGCAAACTGGCAACCAAAAGCAAGAAAAAGAATATTTAAATATTGCAATACTTGGTGTGAGTGAACTAAATTGGACCGGACTGGGATATATTTGGTATTCTGGAAATGACAAATGCAGAAGAAATAGAGTTGCTCTTTTTCCGAGGCAAGATGTAGCAGAGGCAGTAAGTGGCTGTAATGCCAAGTCCCACTGAATCATATCAAACAGAATTCTTGCAAAACCTATCAACATAATTGAAGTCTATGCTCCAACAACAGATGCTGAAGAGAAGAAATCAAAAACTTTCACGCAGGTATCCAAGAAAACACTGACAGCAAGACAAGAGATGCTAATCATCATAGACGACTGAAGCATCAAAATAGGAAACTAAGCAGAACCCCGTGCCGTGGCGGAATCTGGTCCAGGTGTCAGCAACAGAGCACAGAACTACTCAGAGTATTCTGTGAAGCCAACAATCTGTTTATTGAGGAAATGCATATTTCTGGTAACTGATCTGACACTTGTATACATGAACATTGGCACACAGCCAGTATGGAAATCAAATAGACTATGTAATTGGAAGTAGAAGGTGAAGAAATTGTATTCTCACTGTCAAAAGAAGACCTGGAGCAGAGTCTGGTACTGACAATACCCACTTAGTATCACAAACCAGTGCCAAGCACAACTTATATAACATTCCTGAGCAATGTAAAGTCCACATAAAGAATAGATTTGCAGTACTGAACTCGACTGACTATAAGCCAGAAGGACTGTATAATGAAACCAGAGACATTGTTAGGGGGAAAAGAACAATTTCAGCAGAAAAAAGAAAAAAAAAACCATAAATGAATGACAGAGTAAGACAATTGCTAAAGGCAGGCAAGAAGCAAAAGCAAAAGGTGAGAGAAATATGGTCAGATTACTAAATGCAACTTTTCAGTATCAACCATGAGCAGTCAAAAAGAACGGTTACAGTGACCAGAGCAAATGAACAGAAGACAAGAAAAGTTAAATAAGAGACCTCTTCCAGAAGATCCAAGAAATCAAGGGGAAATTCAAACTTTTATTGTGAATACTAAAAGACCAGCAGGGGAAAAGACTATCTGACCAGGAGGAAATAAAGAGGAATAAAGAGAAGACAGACACAATATAGAGGAGAACTATACGGAAGAAGAAAAAAACCATGACAGACAACTTCAACAGAAATCTTATGAGGAAGAACTTGAAATATTGGTAAGTGAAGTGAAAGCTGCCTGAAAGCACTTAAAAGGAATAAAGCATCCATGGCATCAGTTGAACTATTGCAAGCTGCATAACATTGGAAATCCTTAAAAAATCCAACAAATATGGAAAACTGCACCAAGGCCTTAAACTGTGTGGATCAGAAGCTAAGGACCTGAAAGAAATGGGTGTGCCTTAGCACTTGATCATCCTGATGAATAACCTGGAACATGGAAAAGATGCTACTGTTAGGACAAAATATAGGGAATGGTTTCCTCTAGTCAGAGGTATCAGACAAGGATGTATCTTAACACCTGGCTGTTTAATCTGTACGCAGATCATCTCATTAGAAAAGCTGATTTGGGATCAGAGGAAGTAGTAGTGCAAATCTGCAGGACAAACCGCAACAATTTAAGTTATGCAGATGATACAATATTCTTGAAAGCAGCAATAAACTTATTCATTATGAAAGTGAAAGAAGTGCAAAAGAAGGATTGTAACTGAACATTAAAAAACAACAAAACAAAACTCATGACTACGGAAGAATTGCACGAGTTTACTGTCAATAATGAAGAAACTGAAATCATTAAAGATTTCCCATACCTTGGCTCAGTCATTAATTCAAATCAAGACTGCAAGCAAGAAATCAAAAGAAGACTGAGACTTAGAAGGACATCAGTGAAGGAAGTAAAACAGATCATCAAGATAATTGAATATAAAGATGTCTCACTGGAGATGAAGCCCAAGATAATCCACGCTATTTTAATCCTGATCCTGTGTATGATGTGGCAAAGCTGGACAGTCAAGAAAGCTGGTAGGAAGAAACCCAACACCTTTGAAACATGGTGCTGAAGGAGAGCTTTGCCAATACTCTGGACCAACAGCAAGATGAACAAGTGGGTTCTGGCTCAAGTCAAACCAGGACTTTCCCTGAAAGCAAAAACAGACAAAACTGAAGCTTTTGTACTTGGGGCACATCTTGAGAAGGCAAAACCCACTGGAGAAGACCATCTTGCTAGGGAAAGCCAAAGGCAGAAGAGGAAGAGGGCGGCTAACAATGAGATGGACTGACTCCATAGAGGAAGCTGCAGCCTTGGTTTGCAGCATTTGAGCACGGCTGTGAAGGACACGACATTTGGAGGGATCTCATTCTTGGGGTTGCCAGGTCAGAGGTGACTTGTTGCCACGGAGCAATACCACTGACGAGAGGCAGATTTCTGCTTATCTCTGCATGCATGCAAGGAAATTAAGCAAAATCACTTTTTTGAAAGATACGAGCTCAATCCTAAGACTACTCATTTGGACTTGGACAAAAGAGACATGTACTTCCAATTACACTGGTGTGGCACGGTGGGTAGTATGGACTAGGAGCCCAGGATATTCAGGTTTTAGTCCCCATTCAGCCATGAAGCTCACTGGGTAACTTTAGGCTAATCTTTCACACTCAGCCTAACCTACCTCACAGGTCTGTTGTGAATATAAAATGGAGTGGAAGGCTATGCAAGCAGCCATGGTTTTCTTGCAAAGAGGGAGAAAGGCAGGGTATCAATGCAATGTGGTGGTGGTGACCTGCACTGCAGATTCACATTTCTTTCTTTCTTAGCATTTACTCCACCTCATCATCAGCCTAAATGGTATGAGAGAGGCTCACAATATGAAGTCATAAGGATTTATTATTTACAGCTGAGCCAACTGAAGAGATCCGGTAGCTGAATGGCATTAAGCAAGGCAACATCACATACATTCAGCTGGATTGTCATACCTCTGATGACTTGTTGGTCCCCAGGTGGAAAGGGAGCTTCACAGTAACAAAGCACGTGACTAAAACTTCAAGTCTCTATCCCCGTACCTGGGACTAAGCCCTGTGAATGCAGAGAAACTTACTTCTCAGTAGACATGCATAGGATTGTGCTGTTATTTTTCCAGTTTTCCACTGGAAATGAAAGTTTACACAAATAAAAATCAAATGTATCCATATGTCTTATGATACCTTGATTCTCTTGCTTTATATAAGTTAAGCATCTTGGAAGCAAGCTAAGGGACATATGATATGGCTTACAGGCACATTCAGTCTGTTGAAGGATCTCTCTCCCCCGCCCAACTCCCTCCCCCATGCCCCATCTATAATAATGGAAATGTTTGTCTAATGCGAAGGACACACAATTCACATGAGTACTGGGACTGCATATGCTCAATCCTGGATCAATACCAAAACTGCAGCTCCAGCTGCCAAAATTAACTAACTAACTCTCTCTCTCTCTCTCTCTCTCTCTCTCTCTCTCTCTCTCTCTCTCTCTCTCACACACACACACACACACACACACACACAGAGCGAGAGCGAGAGCGAGAGCGAGAGCGAGAGAATAAATTACTTTCTCATACCTTTGGGAAGATATCTAAGCTCTGTTCTTAACAACCTGCAGAATCTCCAGGCCCCAATCTCATTCCTTCATATCTGTCTTGTATACATTTTGACATGGATTTTAATTTTTCAAATACTGTAAATTATTAGCACTGCAGGGCTACGTGCTCTCAAGAGAGGGCATATTTTATTTCTCAAGCACGGACACAGTAAAAAGTGCTGTTTGTTCGGCTACTGTAATGTTACACTAGCATCTTGTATGAGGTTAGAGTGAAACTTCCTCAACTTTGAAGGGTAGCGGGAAGCAAAACAGAAGTTCTGCTGCAAAGTAAGTTACCAAACGCAAAAGTGAATGCAAAAGGATGTAATTCAGAGGGCAAAACTGCCACTCAGAGAGGCAAAACGGACAAGTCTCAGGGAGTTCTCAATCAACATTTTGATTCCATATATTGATGAGAAGCCTCTAGTCATTTTGATTGCTCGTGTTGTGGGACAATCATGACCCATTTCAGTAAGGAATGGATAGTCTTTTTTAAAAAGCTTTTCAAACCTACAATAGTGACATCTGGACCTGAATTTGCAGCATGAAGACAAGATTTGGGTGGGAATAGATTTCTATCCCTGCAGAATTTCCCTGACGGCAGTCTTGGACACTGAAGCTCAATGGGCCAAAATAACTCCTCCTTAGGCTTAGATAAATTGTGGAGACTTAGAGGGGAGATATAGTTTATAAAAAAAATGGAAGAAAGGGGAAGATGGCTATCAATAAGATGTATGAAATTATGCACTGTATGGGGAAAATAAACAGAAAGCTTTTTCCTGCTCCTACAGTATTAGAACCCATCATCATCCAATGAAATGGATGGGAGATTCGGACATCACAGATGGAAGTACTTTTTGGCAGCACAAAGCTGAGCTATGGAATTGGTTGCCACAAGCTGTGGTGATGGCCGCCAACTTAGATGGCTTTAGAAAGGGAGTAAGACAAATCCATGGAGGGCAAGGCTTGTAACCACTACTAGCCCTGGTGGCTAGCTAAGCTACTTCCAGGTTCAGAGGCAGTAAGCTTGTCAATACCAGTTGCTAAAGAACAACCGTGGGAAGGTGCCATTGCCTTCATGTTCCCTTTGTGGGCCTTCCAGAGACATGAGAGCCAGTGTGGTGCAGTGGTTAAGAGCCTGGGACTGGGACTCAGACGACCTGGGTTCTAGTCCCCGCTCAGCCATGGAGCCAACTGGGTGACTTTGGGCCAGTCACAGACTCTCAGTCCAGCCTACCTCACAGGGTTGTTGTTGTGGGGATAAGATGGAGGAGGAGATGTAAGCTGCCTTGAGCCCTTTGTAGGAAAAAGGCAGGATATAAATCGAAAAATAAATAAATAAAATAAAATAAAATGCGGCTGGCCACTGCAGAAAAGGGCGTGCTGGAGAAGGTAAGTTTCTGGTCTGACTGAACAGGGCTCTTATAGTCATATGGCTGAGCTTTGCTAATCAGATTTCAAATTGGTATAATGACACCTCTGCAAAGACACACCCCAGACCAGCTGGAAGGAGTGGGACTACTGGAAGCACGTGGGTGGTTGTTGCCACATGAAGCTGCTGGCCCTATTGGCACCTTCATGCAAGGGGGCACTCCCACCCCTCTGTGAGCTGGGTCATGGGAGGCTGATCCGCAGAGGTTTGGTTTGTGAGCAGAGGGGTCCTGCTATGGAAATATATACTGTCTGAAATCCAGATGTGGCATGCAAAACCAATCATTATCTAGGCTTTATTGTCAGTCTGTGTTTATTTAAGCTTAAATGTGTTCTTTCCAGCTTATATAAAATATCCCTGATAACAATTCAGCCACAAAAATTCAGAAAACAATTTAACCGTTCCCTTAAATTGATGCCTGCCTCCCAGTTCTGAAATGGTGTAGATTGACATGCCTTCTTTATAGCAAGGAGTTAAGCTAGATGACCTTTTAGCCTGTAACAGTGAATCCCTGAGCGTATCCTGCAAGTGGATACTTTGGGAGGTTATTGACTAGTATATTCTTCCATTGCAAATAGCATAGGTAAATGTGATGCACTATTTCGGGCACTATACATCCTCTGAATATATGCATTGCACCAACACTGGAAAACCCTCTTTACTCCTAGAGGCCATTGCTGGAAACAATAAAAATAATAAAATAAAATAAAGAACCTGGTGAATTAGGTTAAGCTGAGAGTCTTAATTGGCCTATAGCCACCCAAGTGAGCTTCATAGCCAAGCAGGGACTAAATCCCGGAATCTCCTGAATCCAAGTCCAACAGTGTAACTCCCTATATACTACACTGGCGTCCATGACTGACCCTTGGCCTGCCTGTTTGTTTCTTCACTGCAGCACAGTATGTTGTGACTTCTGAGTTGACCTAAGAAAGGTACTGCCCTAACAGCATTTGGAACAGTTCTATCCTACCTATACTTCGGCTTTCCTCTCCCTAAAGGTCACTTCAGACAGTTGCATCATGCTTCAAGAAGCCTTGCGAATATGGAACATTAGTCAGGACACATTACCTAGATAAAATCTCGTCACACCTGTTTGCAGTGCCTTAATACAGCTCATCTGCTCTAGTGGAGAAGCATCTCGCTTGTTTTCAGGAAGAAGAGTGGGTGAATAGAGGAGATAACTAAGAAAACTTGCTCCAGACAAAAAATAAGAGCCCTCTTTTCCCCTCTGTCTCAAGCAACGTTTGTGGTTAGAATCTCAAAGAAATGAAGACATTACTTGTACACACCACAGTACACTGAAACGAATGTGTGGAAGTTGGATGTAGCAGCAAGCACACTCACTGGGTGGCCACCACAGACAAGTCACCCTGTGTCACAGTCTACCCGATGTAACAGAGTTCTGACGAGGATGAGGATTTTGGGATGGGCAGAAAGTTAACAAACATTTCCTAAGACTCTGAAAATGACTGGATGGTTTTCAAGGGTTACCACATGAGAGAGAAACTGCTTTGTGCTAAGACATTCCTTAATTTAAATAGTTAGGCCCAGGAATTGCATGTGGATTTGTTTTACTTTAAACAAAAAGTTTTGCTTTGTTTAAAGATACAAGCCCACAAGAGGGTGGCCCTATATTCTGAATTAACTATTGTACTGGCACAATCCTTATATGGGAGATTACAGACATCATACATATAACAACTGAAGAGATGTTTCCACTATTTTTGAACAGTCTACCTAGAGAGCACTGAGCAAGACAGGTGACCTTTATTTTTTAAAAAATCATTTGGCAACTGAATAAAAACTGGCTCCAAAACAAGATCTCAAGAACATACATACCCTATAATATAATTGGTCTGATCTTCTTTGATAGGAATACCCACAAACTTAAAGACTGGGTGAACAAGCATCAGTACTATCCCTGGAATATACATATCCTATGCATGTCTACTGAGAAGTCTCAAAATTTAGCTTATTCCCCAGAACATGTGTACAGAACTGCAGCCTGTACACACTTCCTGCAATTTCTTGACCACAACTTCTTCTCTCTCGGTTTTCAAAGCTACAGTAAGGGCACAAGGAGCTGGTGCAGTGACAATAAAGATGGAACCTA